AATATGTTATATATTAGTACTATATATGTATATATGTATATATGTATATATGTATATTAATACATTATATATGTATATATATATATAGTATAATATATATATATATTATATATATATATATATATATATATATATACGTACAGAGACATAGAAGTACATATACATATACGCATATATTCTTATATAGATAGGTATACATACGCACGTACATTCAAACATACATAAATGCATACATACATACATACATACATACATGCATATATATGCACATACATGCGTACATATATACACACTTATATACGTACATAAGTACACATGTATGTACATACATACATACAAAGACATACACATGCATACATGCATACGTACCTAAATCCAAAACCATACACGCACTATACATGTGTGTACGTACGTATCTAAATATATAGCCATTTCTACATGAAGCTCTTGCGTGGTCCCCCCCCCCCCCCCCGCGCCTGTGTGCCTCCGTATTCCAAATTGCGCACACTTTGCAATGGGGCCTTTTGGAACCGTTTTAGTTCTTTGTGCGCCTTGTCGACCCTTCCATTCTCCATTCTTCCCTCTTTCCTTCCCCATTCGCTCTGTTTCCCTTGTTTTCTGCGCTCTAACCTCGCTTCTTCCTCCAGTCTTCCTCCTGATATCGCCTTACAATGAGCGGAAGGTGGTAATTAAATGTTTTTTTCGGGGGTGGGTAGGGGGTAGGGGGTGGTTGGGGAAAGGGGGTTAGGACCTTATTGTATGCGAGTTGCGTGGTATATATTTTTTCGGTTTGGGGTACGGTTTATTCTTTTTGTGTGTGTGTTTGTGTGTGTCGTTTGATTCTTTTGTTTCTGTCTTCCTGTTTTTTTTTTTTTAGGCTTTTCCTCCTCTCCGTCTTCCTTCTTCGTCTTCTTCTTCTTCTTCATTTTCTTTTCTCCTCCTCATCTTCTTCTTCTGTCTCCTCTCTCCTCCTCCTCCTCCTCCTCCTCTCCTCCTCCTCCTCCTCCTCCTCCTCCTCCTCCTCCTCCTCCTCCTCCTCCCTCCTCCTCCTCCTTCCTCCTCCTCCTCCTCCTCCTCCTCCATCCCTCCCTCCCCCTCCCTAACCCCTCCTTTCTTTAGGTTGGCGAATGAGTGAATGAATAAATGAACAAGAACACTGAATGGCCTGGAGTCTGATGAGATCCACTCCCGCCTGTGCCTTCTTGTCTGTACTCCCCCCCCCCCTCCCCTCTCCTCTCTCGCTCGCCTCCACTCTCCCCATTCCCTTCCCCTCTACATCCTCCCTCTTCCGCTCGTCTCCCCCATTCCCTTCCTCTTCCCTCTCCTTCCCTTCCCATTCCCTTTCCCTCTCCTTTCTCTCCATCTTTCCTTTTCCGCTCCCCTTCCCTCCCTCCCCCTTCCCTCCCTCCCCTCCCTCCCCTTCCCCTTCCCTCCCCTCCCCTCCCCTCCCCCCCCCCTCCCCCCCTCCTTTTCCCTTCATCTTTCCTTTCCCTCCCCCCCTTCTCCCTCCATTTGCTTTGCATGTCATTTTCCCCGCATTCATTCAGTCGTGCGCATAGGGGGGTGGGGTAGGGGGGGGTTGCCGGTGGCTTCTTACAGGCGTTTTTGTGTTCCGTGTTTAGCTTTTGATACCCACACGGACACGAACACGGAGATGAACACGGACAGGAACACGAGCATGAACGCGAACACGAACACGAACACGAACACGAACACGAGGACGCACATATACATATATTCATATACTTGGTCTATCACTGTGTGAGTGTGAGTGTGAGTGTGAGTGTGAGTGTGAGTGTGAGTGTGTGTGTGTGTGAGTGTGAGTGTGAGTGTGAGTGTGAGTGTGAGTGTGAGTGTGAGTGTGAGTGTGAGTGTGGTGTGTGTGTGTGTGTGTGTGTGTGTGTGTGTGTGTGTGTGTGTGTGTGTGAGTGTGAGTGTGAGTGTGAGTGTGTGTGTGTGTGTGTGTGTGTGTGTGTGTGTGTGGTGTGTGTGTGTGTGTGTGTGTGTGTGTGTGTGTGTGTGTGTGTGTGTGTGGTGTGTGTGTGTGTGTGTGTGTGTGTGTTGTGTGTGTATGTGTGTGTATGTGTGTGTATGTGTGTGTATTTGTGTGTGTGTGTGTGTGAGAGAGAGAGAGAGAGAGAGAGAGAGAGAGAGAGAGAGAGAGAGAAGAGAGAGAGAGAGAGAGAGAGAGAGAGAGAGAGTGTGCTGTGTGTGTGTGTGTGTGTGTGTGTGTGTGTGTGTGTGTGTGTGTGTGTGTGTGTGTGTGTGTGAGTGAGTGAGTGAGTGAGTGAGTGAGTGAGTGAGTGAGTGAGTGAGTGAGTGAGTGAGTGAGTGAGTGAGTGAGTGAGTGAGTGAGTGAGTGAGTGAGTGAGTATGTATGTATGTATGTATGTATGTATGTATGTATGTATGTATGTAATGTATGTATGTATGTATGTATGTGTGTGTATGCGTATGCGTATGCGTATGCGTATGCGTATGCGTATGCGTGTGTGTGTGTGTGTGTGTGTGTGTGTGTGTGTGTGTGTGTGTGTGTGTGTGTGTGTGTGTGTGTGTGTGTGTGTGTGTGTGTGCGTTTATTTGTTTGTTAGTCCATTTGTTTGTTTGAGCGTCTCCTGTTCTCGTCTTCAAAAGGTTGAGGTCGCAGTTTGGAGGCACTTTCGTCGCCCTTTGTTGATGTTGTTCAGCCGCTTCCTTCGTCCGTGTTGTTGGCTTTGTTCCTTTGTGGCGATGTTTGTTCGCTTGACTCTTCTACTCTTGTTTGTGCGAGTGTTTTTTTTTGGGGGGGGTGAGGGGGGAGTCTTTTCCTTTGTCTCGCCTGTGCCTTCTCTTTGCTTGATTCTAGTTTGCGGTTCTTTGTATCTGTCTCTCTGTTCCTGTCTTTGTAGGTTTATTTTATTCTTTTCCTTTCTCTTTCTCTCTCTCTCTCTCTCTCTCTCTCTCTCTCTCTCTCTCTCTCTCTCTCTCTCTCTCTCTCTCTCTCTCTTCTCTCTCCTCTCTCTCTCTCTCTTCCTTTCTCTCTTCCTCTCTCTCTTCCTCTCTCTCCCCTCTCCCCTTCCATCTCTTTCTTTCTTCCCGCTCTTTCTTTCTTTCCCTCTCTTTTTCTCTTTCTTTCTCCCCCTCTTTTTCTCTTTCTTTTTTCCTCCCTCATTTTCCTTTTTCCTTCATACCCTTCTCCTCTGTGTTTCCCACTCTTCCAGCGTCATCTAACTTGCCAGTCTGTATGGAGCTGCCTGGAAGAGTCAACCTTTGCTTTGGAACCGTTAATTGCGGGAGCCACTTAGTGTCACCTCCTCTCCCCTCCCTTTCTCCTCCTCTCCCCTCCCTTTCCTCCTCCGTCTCTCTATTTCTTGACCTCCTCCCATTCTTGCCCCTTCTTCTCCTCCTCCCTTCCCTTCCTATCCTCTTCGTCGTCCTCCTTTTCTTCCCTCCCCTTTCTCACATCTCCCTCCCTTTTCCCACCCTCCCATTAATCTTACACTTTCTACCTTCCATCTCCCCTTTCCCATGCCCCTCCCCCCTTCACTTCTACCTCCCCTCCCTCCTCTCCCTCCCCTCCCCCTCCCCTTCCCCTTCCCCTCCCCCTTCCCTCCCCCCTTCCCCTTCCCCTTCCCTTCTCCTTCTCCTCTCCTACGCCCTTGACCTCCCCTTCCCCTTCCCCTCCAAAGGTCAGGTTCCCACGTGGGATGAGAGACTTAGAAGTCCACTTTGCCTTCTCTTCTCCATCTTCTCTTCCTCTACCTTTTCGTATTCCACTTGTTCTCTGATCGTGTTTTTTTTCTTTTCTTTTTGGTTCTTTGTCTTTTCTGTGTTTTTTATATATTTTTGTATTATTCTAGTTTATTCTTTTTTGCGTGTGTGTCTTTCACTCACTCGTTTTCCATTCGTATTTTCCCTTCGCAAGCCGTTTATCTCACCGTTCGTATCCTTCGCACTTTATCACTCTTCCTCCCCAAGCACTTCTCCTCCCAGACGTTGCTCTCCCTTCTGCATCGTTCGCGGAGTCACCTGCGGTTGGGGTTGGAGGTCCCCTGAGGCGGCGGCGGCGTTTGGCACCTGGGGGGCCGGGGTGCCGCGTCGCTGGGCCGCGGCAGTTGCAGATGGGTTGATTGGCTTGCGTGATTGGTTGATTGGGTTGCGTGATTGGTTGATTGGATTGGGTGATTGGTTGATTGGATTGGTGATTGGGTTGCGTGGTAGATTGGTTGATTGGGTTGCGCGTTTGGTTGATTGGATTGGTGATTGGTTGGTTTGGGTTGATTGGGGTGGTTTGGTTGATTGGTGATTGGGTGATTGGTGATGTTGCGCGTTTGGTTGATGGATTGGATTGGTTGATTGGTTGCGCGTTTTGGATTGGCGTGATTGGATTGGTGATTGGGTTTGGTGTGATTGGATGGAGTAATTGATTGGTTGATTTATTGCGCTAACGACGGAAGGATTATGCGTGATTGGATGTAATTAATTGGGAGATTGAAATTCGTAATTGATTGATTGGGGGATTGATTGATTGATTGGCTGCGCTAACGACGGAGGGATTAATGCGAGGGTCCCAGCGTGCGAGGTTTGTGGGTTGGGGGGGATGCGCTTCCCGTGGGCGCTCCGAGACGGCTTGGGGGTTGGGGTTTTGTCGCTATTATTATTATTATCTTTATTATTATTATTGATATTGTATTGCTGTTATTGCTATTGTTGTTATTATTATTATTGTTATTATCATTATGATAATAATAATAATGATAATAATAATAATAATAATAATAATATAATAATAATTATTTATTATTATTTTGTTGTTGTTGTTGCTTTTATCATCATTATCATAACATTCTTATTATTATTATTGTCATTAATATTACTGTTGCTGTTCTTGTTCTTATCTTGATCATCATCATAATAATAATCATGATCATCACCATCGTCAGTCAACAATCATCCCGCCATCAGCCTGTTATAACTGCCGTCCTCACAACCCCCCTTGCCCCCCTTGCCCCCCCTGACAGTTCGTGGAGGACTACGAGCCCACCAAAGCCGACAGTTACCGCAAGAAGGTCGTGCTCGACGGCGAGGAAGTGCAGATCGACATCCTCGACACGGCGGGCCAAGAGGACTACGCAGCCATCAGGGATAACTACTTCAGGTGAGAGGGAAGGGGGGATAGGGGATAGGGGGATTGAGGGGAGGAGGAAGGAAGGAAGGAGACTGGTATAGGGGAGCGGGAGAGGGGGAAAGGGGGGAAGGGGAATAGGGAAAGGAAGGGGAAAGGGAAGGAGGTAGGGGACGGGAAAGGGAACAAGGAGAGATAGGGGAAAGGAAAAGAGGAAGGGGAGCTAGGGAGAAGGGAAAAAAAAGGAAGATACATTTTTTGTTGAAAGCGAGAACGGCGTTGAAAATTATATATCCATAAATATGTCACAAAATTTCTGATGGTGACTCCTCCTTGGACAGGTCCGGCGAAGGCTTCCTGTGCGTGTTCTCCATTACAGAGGACGATTCCTTCCAAGCGACGGAGCTCTTCAGGTAAGTGGCTGTTATGAGTGGGAGTGTGTGCAAGTGCGAATGCGTGTTATTTTACTGTTGATTTCCTGTACTCAGTTTTATTTTTTCATGGATAGATTTAAATAGTTTATTTGCAAAGGCACATTTTTTTCTTTTCTTTTTTCCTTACCTTCAATCACATCCTTCCAGGGAGCAGATCCTGCGCGTGAAGAATGACGACCACATCCCGTTCCTCCTGGTGGGCAACAAGGCTGACCTGAACGAGCGCCGGAAAGTGAGAGAGGAGGATGCCAAGAACCGTGCCAGCCAGTGGGGGGTGCCATACGTTGAAACCTCAGCCAAGACGCGAGCCAATGTTGATAAGGTGAGAGAAGCGGAAGAGGTTGGTGCATAGACGTGCAAGGAGGAGAGAGACGGAGAGAGGTTTCAGTTGTTGAGCTCGATTATTCTTAAGAGAAAATAATAAAATGGCTTTTTATAAAAATGTCCCAATGACCCTTATCTTTAAACATGGAAGAATAGATCCTTGTCTCTTCTCTTCTTTCCCTAACCCCCCTCTGTTTGAAACTGATCGCTTTGCGGTTCTTATTCCTTTTTCTCTTATATAATGTGATAGAGAATTTGAATAGGGCAGGAGTTGAGAGGCATATTTAAACCCAATAGATCTGCTTGCATTCTTAAGCTATTTCATTAGTGTCTGTATTGCTTTTGTAATGCTCGTTGAATTTGCTTTCAATGTAGCTTCGTACAAGCAAATTTGAATAAAAAAAAGGGGAAGATCATTATTAAAGCAACATGAAAATGTCAGATTTTATAGTTTTAAATAACCTTTGCAGAAAATGGAGTGTAATTAATTTATTACAGGATAAGAGTGGCCTTTTTGACTATACTGTAAATAAATTCCTCAATATCCATCTGCTTTGGGTAAAAATATAATAAAGCACAAGTTAGTCTCAAAATTAATTAGATATTTTTCTTAAGTATTATTTTTAGTCTGATTATGTACATACCTTCTATGTTCATGTTGATAATTTTCCGCTTGTAGTGTTGGCTTTACGGGTGATTCTTTAGTGAACTTTTACGATCTCGCCACTTTGAAGGCTGTTTTACTTGGATTTGTGAAGACCTCATTGTTGTCCTGCTTCTCTGACCTTGTTTAAGGCTTGTTCTGTTTGTTTCGCTCCTTACACCTACAGAGGGATCTCAGTGGTTTAGTTTGCTGATGTGTACTCTTCCCCTTTTAAGAATAGGATAAATGTTGAGACATATTCATTGAATATAGTTAACATATTTTATTCCATTATTATGTATATTATGAGTTTAAGTATAGTTTGATGCTGAATGGCTTAGATTGACAAGGGCGGAAATTTGTTAAAGATGTTTCTGTTCATTTGCCTTTAAAATGTATATCTGTGGACTATAGTGGAACATTATTGTAAAATGTACATTTCTACAGAGTTAAAGAGAAATATGCGGTTTGGACATTTACAAATATAGATTTTAATACAAATATCTGTTTTATATGTGTGAAATAGGTGGATGATCATAGGGTTTTCTTTTTGTTTATCATTTTACTTTTTTTAATTTTTTTATTATTACTCATCTTAGTTTTTTTGTTTTTGTTTTTTGGTGGAGGTATTTACAAACATTGGTAATTTTAAGAATAGCAACACTCATTTAAAAGTAGAGGATTTTGTATCCATTTTCAGGTGTTTGTTATGTGTGGTTACGTATTGGCATGTAACTCTTCAATTTTCTTTTTCAGTATAGTTTGTCATCACATTGTCTTTCTACATTCCACCCATGCCTTCTTTCTTCAGTACTTTCATTACTCCTTGTTTGATATTCATGACTCCCCTGTCCCCCCAAAAAGATAAAAAAGAAGAAAAAGAAAGAAAGAAAGAAAAAAAGATGAAAACAAATGAGTTTGTGGATTTTTTTTTTGAGTGTGATTTACCCACTTCTTTTCTGAACGTTTTCTGCTGTGTATTGAGGAACAAGCCTGCCCCCTCCTTCCCCAGACTCACCCCGATTGATTTTTGACTAACATTGAGGTCCAGCAGGAGATGTCACTCACCACTAAGCGTTACTCTAGTGAGCTTGGGATGTGTGTTTGTCAGCGACCTTTATTGTGTGATTAGTGTCTCGTCTAATAGCCCATCTCCCACACCCTACAGGTATTCTTTGATTTGATGCGAGAGATTCGTGCTTGCAAATTGGAAGACAATAAGAACACCAATGGAAAAGGCAAAGATCCCGGCAAGAGGAAAAAACACAAGTGCTGCATTCTTTAGGTCAGCAGATACCTTGCCTACCCTCCCTCTTCACCCCTTGCCTCAGCCTTAGTCTCCCTCCATTTACCTCCAGTGTCTCCCTCCCTCTCTTCATCCTCCACTTCTTCCCTCAACCCAAATGCCATCTTTCCCTTTCAAATTATTCCACCTCCAGTCTCCCTTCAAGTTTTAAGATAACCCTCTTAGTGTCATATTTAGCAATCTGCATCTTTTTCTCCTGCTCTGATATTCCCCAGTGTCACTCACCACCTTCACCACGACTTTTGCCTATTCCTTTTCCAAGTATCCTTCCTCCTCCTCTTCCTCACTTTCCTCCTTTTTCCACTGCTCGTCCTTCATACATTTCCTCTCCCCTTTTCATCTTCTGCCCCTCACAGTCCTCCTCCATGTTATTCAGTTATATTTCCTTCTGATCCTCCTCCTGTTCCCAACATTACCTGCATTTGTGATTTACATTCCATGCCTTGTGGCTCCTTTTTCCCTAGACCTTTTGGGCTTCATGATTTGTCCTGTTATCTCCCCCGTGTCCTGTGTCCCTGTCCTTAAGCTCCCTGCCCCTCGTCTTGTGTCCTCCCCAGCCTCTGTAGCCTCAAGCAACGATGTGGTTTGCTCTAGTGTATCCACAGACGTGTGTCATGTCCTGAAGTCAGTACTGCTTGAGATATGTTTTATTGAGTCATGGGTTGTTTACTTTCATTTTCACATCTTTATTGTTTATCCATTTGTGCTTTGATATGTATCCTCATAAGGATGGGGAGGGAGGTGTTCTTGGGTCATGATCATGAGATCAGCAGGACATGGCCATGTCTGATTTGCTGCAGGCCAGGTTTACATCTCTGCTTTTTTGTTTTGTTTTTGTTTGTTTTTGATTAGTGTCACGTGTTCTTCATAGCATAAAATGATGTTTGCCCCATCCCCCACCTTCCCTGTAATCTGAAAACATGTAGCTTGTTTGTGTGGTTTGTTTTAACTGTGCAGTACCACATGCCATGATGACAGGGAGAAGCTCTATTGATGTGACTTGGGTAGTGTGTGGTTATTTTATGTTGGATGCCTTTAACAGTGCTCCATGAGATAAGTGTATAGATAAACATAGAAAATTAGGAATGAATGTGTCTGTGGATGTGGGTGGATGTGAAAAGAATCTTGTGTTTTTAAAATAAGTACTGTATTTAGATAATGCAGAAGTAGAAAACAAGGATGTTGCTACAAAAGTACTTGTTTTTATTCATACATTGGATGTTGGATCTGATAAAAAATGCATGAGTGCAAAGACATTCTCAGTGACCTAGAAGGCAAATTGAAGTCACTTTAGCTGGGTAGACTTCAAAAATCTTTTGGCCTTTACAAGACTTTAGATGTTAAATGAGAATTAGCCATTAGAACTACCAACTGTTGACCTTTATCAGTAAGTGATGAATAATCTCAAGGTAAAATGACCTAGAGAGGGATCAAATATTGATTTTCGCAAATTTTATCACTCAACCAGACATAGGTATTTCATCAGTACATCTGTCATACATTTAATTTGATAGTGTTTAAAACTGGAGGGTGATTATAAAAAAATACGGCAGACATTAGACTGTAGTATATGATCTGACTGAGATTTATGCATGTATGTAATTTTATTTTGTGTGTAGCTTTTCATCCTTTGTTTCTGCTTGTTTTCTATTTGATTAAAGTTCTCAAGTCTCTTGAATGATTTTAGCCTCTGTACTCTTCCTTAACACTATACAGATGGCCTGCAAGAGATATCAAAGTAGAGGAGTAGACACCTTAGTGCCTAAAGTAAATCCATACATTGATTAGTCCTTGTTTTGTCATTAATGGATGCAACATACACTCATAGATTGCCTTTTCTCATATTTAACTGCAGTGGTTGGGTCAGACCTGTCTTCTTAGACCCTTGATATTTAACCTTTGATTTGGACATGATTGCTTGGATTGCATTACGAGAACTAAACTGCATGTTTTTTTTTTGTACATGGCCTTAATGCTTTTTGTTTTGGTTTGGTTGCATTTTATTTGTATAGTGTGTCTTTGGCATTGCAGTTTTTATCAGTAGTCATCTTATTGTTTGTTTCCTTGTCTTAATACATTGACTGTTTGATTTTTTCCAGTGTAATTATTAATTAGGTTGTCTTAGATTTGTAATGTTTTCTTGTTCTTTGTCAAATACAACTCAAACTTTGTCTGCAATTTTTGTTTTATAGTTATAGGAATAACCAATTAAGATATAATTGATTGTTCCCCCCCTCACAAAAAAAAGAAAAAATCAGTGTAATTAGCAATTCTGTAAATTAAAGTATACTATTACTCTTTCAGGCGTTCTACGACTTGACTCGCATGATATCGGCCAGCAAGCAGCAGGCTGACAGCCCAGATGAGACAGAAAACAAACCTACCAAGTGCTGCTGCATTTCATAGTCCCCCATGACTACACTAGCCAATGCCTGTGAATGAAACCTAAATGGAGATTTTTTTTTTCTTTATCATTCATAGATGTAGGAGGCGTTCATTTTGTTTTGTAGGTGATGACAATAGCCCCCGGTGTATGTATGAAGGTTATTATACAATGTGTAGGTGAGAGAAGAGATGACTTTTTTAATGTGCTATTGAAACAAAACCCTTTGTTACTCTCAAATGACATAGGGTCTTCTCTCCACTCTGTGTCAATCACTTGTATTATTTGTTTACAATGTTTAAGATGCCTCCTGTCTTGTCTTAAGGTTTCTTGTATTCTAGAGGGGCTCCAAGATGATCCTCTGGGTTGTTTTGCTTGAAAATAAATTTGTAATGTAAGTTTTGCAGATAGTGCATCTGTCTGATCCATACTCATTAGGTCATGTGCCATGGCCTTTCATTTTTCTTTATTTTTGTTTTATCTGACCTTTTTTTCTTTTTCTTCCTTCCTTAATTACTCTTTCTAGAAATTTAAGTGCTTATTATTGATATAAGGGTATAAAGCTGAAGCCCGCTGATCAGATCCCAGTGAGTGCTCATTGCAGTGATCTACAGAAAATATGTATTTATGTGACGTCGCCAAAAGACAAATGTTGAAAGCTGTGAGAGGCGACTTTGTTACTGTCATCATCCTTGTATGTTTTGCTGAATGTTAAAAGGTGATTGTTAGGCATCATAGATATTTATGATGTGCTCCTTGTGAGTGAATAAACATTCAGTGTACCTTTTTTTCTTTTATGTTAACCATTCCTAAATAACGAAGATTTTTCTCAGAGAAGTAAGTAGGTAAATTGATAATTAAATGGCATAAGGTTAAATTGATTTCTTAGAAGATTTAGAGGGAACATAGAAGTTTATTTAAGAGGCTTGCTCTTCCTGCCTTACAAGTTTCATATTTAAAAACTGAGTATTGGTTGTCATACTATAGATTAATTAAGAGTAAATGAAAAGAAAATCTAATTAATGATCTATATACAAGGTGGGGTTAGATCAGCCATTCCATTGTACTCAGATCCTAACCCACACCTTCTATACCATTGCTTAGGTGAATGCAAAGTAAAAATATGCTTGCAGATGTAACAAGATGTCAATATATTTTTTTTCTTCATTGTAGAAGTCACCTCACGGTGCTCTTTTTGGAAAGAGGTAACTTGACGGTTTTCTAACTCCCTTCTCCCTCCCCCCTCCTCGGCATTTCAACCACATGACTTGTCAGCTGGAAGTTGAAGGTGGCAAGATAAAGGAAAATATGAAAGTAAAAGGAAAAGCTTGTTTACTTTTTTTTTTCCTGATAGATCTACCTCTGCATTTTAAAGTCACACAGGCCAGGTGTGTGTGTGCCAGACCATGAAATCCAAAAGCCAAGCAAAAAAAAGTTAATTCCTCTAAAGATTGCTGTTCATACTCCACTGCTTTCATACTTCTTGGGCATCTTACGTATAATCTTGATAATTACCAAAGCGGCTGATGTTTTTCTTAAATTTCTATAAGTTATGTTTTTCGGCTATGAAAGTTTAGATAGACTGCCAAGAACAAGTGATATTGGAAGGTATTGTTCATGCATGAAAGGTCTTCATAGTTTGGACTGTGTGGCAATGCAGAGTGTAGATGAGAAGTGAATTGATCTGGAAAGCAAATATGCCTTTAGCAAATGTAAACAGCTTTCCTTGTGCCTTCAATTTGGTCTCTTTTATAAGTTTAGAAGTAAAGATTTTTTTACTTATTTAATTTGATTTTTTTTTATAGTTCCGGATCAGTTTTTATTTTTATGGAAGATTAGACTGGAACATTGTACAAATTCACTCTCGCAAAACTGTAATGAAATGAATTTAAAAGTAGACCATCTTGTATAATCACAACATTTTTATTTAAAAGTAGATTAACAACAGAAAAAAAACATTTCTCCAAAAATAATTGAATATCAGGTTTTTTGTTGATTTAACAGCCCTGCAGCATTCCCTTACAAATATATATGTATGTATATGTGTTTATATATGTATATACATATATGTATAAATGTTTTCTTCAGTAATATTTTAGCAGGTATAGACTTCATTCTTGCCTTGATTGTAATAAAGAAAAATTGACTTAACAGAGGATATTAAGAAACGATTTGAAATTAAATTAACAATCAACTGTCTTATGCACTGTCAAGTCACAATATTGATGAGTTAAGGGCACATGATTATATATATATACACACATGTACTGTTAATGTATATATGTATGCATGTATGAACATATGTGTATGTGTATATGTATGTGTATGTATATGCATGCATATGTATGTATATATGGCTATATTTATGGAAATTACCACAAAACTACCAGCTACATTGAATGCACAAATTTCAGCTGCCATAATGAAGGTTTATACCACATTTGCAGCTTATTTAAGTTTTACATAGTAGTTTTAAATTATTACTTTCCAAGTCCCTCAAGTTTTGGATGGGATCATACACCAATGCAAAACTGGACATGGTTTCAAAGGGGAGAAAATGCTCAAAAGGTGAATGGGATGGAATCTAGTCACGGATTTCAAGCAACGGCGAGCGTTCAAATTTTCAAACAGGAACTAGGTGAAAAGGAAAAACCAAAAGTATTGTTCACCTTGTGCAAAAAAATGACAATTTGTAAGAGCATTCCTGGCAATGGTGAGCTTATTGTGAAGGTTTAAGCTTTTTATTTATCCATTTTAATCACAGTTTGTACATTGATTATGTAATATATGTCTGAAATAAAATGTCTTTTATTAGAGAATCCTTCATATAGAGAATTTGAGGGAGAAAAAGGATAATAAAGGAATTTTATTAAATGATTTAATTATTTTTTTATGTTATTGAAGTGTAAATTCTACTAGTAAGAATAATGCCTTGCATTGGAATTGCACAGAAGACTTACAGGAAAGTCCTATAAGACGATAATGAAATCTGGAATTCATGTTCTAAAAAAAGAAATTATTATTAAAGATACATATCAATTTAGTTGCTAATAGGACAACAGAAGAGGGCACACTTGGTCATTCTACTTACAAAGACAGCAGTTCCCTGTAATATTAGATTGCAGACCAGGACTATACATTTGTAGATTTCTTGCATTGCTTATTCTATGCATACAAATCCAAGTTATGCAGGGTATGAAAATTGATTAATAAAATGTCATTTTATGATTCAAAACGGTTTTCTGTCATTGACCAAAAAATTAAAAATTTTCTAATAAAAATTTGATTCTGTTATAACTTGCAATTTTGGATGTATCACCACTGATTAGGATTTTTATTGTTTACCAACTAACGGCATACACAAACAGTGCTCTCACAAAATGAAATTAACCTCTACAAGGATATTTTAGGTTCTTGCCCTTTACCTCATACAATATTTCATAGAAGACATTAGACTGTTTGCTGAAATACCATGCAGAATAAGTATTTACCTAGGGGAATCACTTATCAAACTTTGATAATTCTTGTTTTTACCAAGGCAGTTTCACTCTTCAAGTATTTCATAATTGTAAATTTAATGACAAAATAATAGATCTCATGAGAATAAAAGACTACAGTAGTCTAAGTTTTTGGTTAATAAATTACATTTGACCTTGCTATGCATCATTTCTGCCTCATTCTTATATAGGATAGCAATTTTTTCATAACTAAAATGAGGTTGCAGCATTTTGCAAAAAACAAATTATGAATTGCAGATACATGTGTCCCTTGAGCCCCATGTTCTTGGGCAAGAGCTTGAGGGTCGAGAAATTCCCAAGCCCAAGAGAATAGGGGTTGCAGTAATACCACGGAGAACTCCTAATTCTCTTGGACACAAGATTTAATGAACATATTGAGAATATTTAAATATTCTAGATAATGAGAGATATAAAGAATTGTTGCGGTATGGTGAAGAAGCTCTGTTAGACAAAAGACATGTTACTAGTTCAGACAGTAAACAAACTTAGGGGCAAAAGATCTTAGAGCTGAAAGAGAGCAGGGGTAGATATTAAAGTATCTACCAATCACTATCTGAATGCAGTGAAAGGGGCTGTCTTCCAGCAGAAGCTAATATTGTATAAAGAGGAGACGCCACAACTTGAGATGGCAGACCAAGGGGTCATGGAGGTCAAAAGAATCCAAACGAAGGGTAGGTGCTGATAAGTACAGGGACGCTGCTATGCTGATTCTCACCTTCGACAAGGAGCAGCTGCCTGAGAAGATCATGGCAGCTGCCAGTACTTGAGGTCCAACCTTCTCCAAGGCATTGTTTCAGATGCCAGAATTTAGATATATTGGATATAAATGCTGCTCAAAACACTTCATCTGTGAGAAATGCACCAGAGTGCATGAAAATGATTACTGTTGTACCAAGATGGTGTTCAAACACTGATAGGAAATGTGTTCTACAGAATGCAGATCCTCTCTATACAGACTACTCCAAAAGGTAGGAGGGTTGCATACCAGAAACACAATAAAATCACAGATAAGAGCTTTACACCGACAGCAAAAACACCTAACCACAACATAGAGGTCCATCTGCCCCAATATATCAAATGCCAAAAGAACTAGACAAAACCCGGAGTCAAGAGAACAGACAGCAAACTCGAGAGAATCCAACGGAAACTTAAGGAAATCCTTAGAGGAATGGCTCTTCCCTTGTACCAAAGGAGCAGAGACCTCCGAAAATCCCTAGGTAACAGAGACCATCTGGCTCAAAGCTCCAGAGGTCAGAATAAGGGACAAAGCCCTTAATGGGGCTTCAGCCTTAAAAGGCCAGTAGAGCTGAAACGACAATCAGGATAAAAAAGGAGACCCTAAAGCCAACTAAGGACGTGCAGGTGCCTAAGCCTAAGCCACTGATCCATAAACAACCCGAGATCCTGGAAAAGTCTCCCTCACTGCCTGAGGTTAACCTAAGGACAGTGAAGGAGCAAAATGCCAGTGCAAGGGGGACTCCTCCAACAAGAGTGGGGGTTAAAAATATCAGTTGACTAGATCTCCCCCAACTAATGGACGTATAATAACAATGATATCAATAGATGATAATAAATGATAATTATAATGACTAATAACAAAAATAATAATTATTGTCACAATAACAATAGTAATCATGATATTGATCCTCATAATAGTAGTAATAATGATGATGAAGATGGTAATGATAAATATGATAATGACAATAATATTATAATAATAATAAATATAATGATAATGATATTAATCATAATAATATCAATAATAACAATGATGATAATGATAATGTTGATTATAAAACTAATAGTAATGATAAGTGCAATTCTGATAATGATAAAACTAATAGTAATGATAAAAAATCATGCTAAAAATGAATGTTTATTATCATAATAATGATAATACTAACACTGGTAATAAAGATAATATCAATAAAAGGCAATGGTAATAATAATGATAACGATAGCAACAGCAATGATGATGATAATAACAGTAATAGTATTAATAATTAAAATGAAAAAATAATAAAGATAATGTGATTATTATAATCACAATGATGATAATAATGATCATGATATTAGTGATAGTGGGAACGATAATAAAGATAATATTAATATCAACAATGATATGTTGTTGATAATAGTGAGAGTAGTAACAATAGTATTGATAATGATAATGATATAATGATAATATTTTTTTTATTATAATAATAATGATAATGACAATAATCATAGTATTAATATCAACAATAATAAGTATTAATATCAACAACAATAATAATAATAATAATGATGATAGTAATAATATTAGTGTTGATGCTGATGATAATAGTAACAATAATAGTGATAAAAGTCACAAGGACAATACCAGCTATGATGATTATGATGATGATGATGATGATGATAATATTGATAATAATAATAATACTGATACTGATACTACTACTAATAATAATACTGATACTGATACTAATAATAATACTGATACTGATACTAATAATACTGATACTGATAATAATAATAATGATACTGATACTGATACTGATAATAATAATAATACTGATACTGATAATAATAATAATACTGATACTGATAATAATAATACTGATACTGATAATAATAATAATACTGATACTGATAATAATAATAATACTGATACTGATAATAATAATAATACTGATACTGATAATAATAATAATACTGATACTGATAATAATAATAATACTGATAATAATAATAATACTGATACTGATACTGATAAATAATAATAATACTGATACTGATAATAATAATACTTGTAGCGGGGCGTAGACCCAGTAGATTTGAAGTGGTCTGGTTGAGTCCGGGCTCAACCGAGAATATGGTTTTTGCTTAAGGGAAAGATTCGTCTGCAGTGAACAGCTGTAAGCTTCCAGGCCTACGGCACGCTGCCACCACCCGATTAGTAGGTTCGGGAACCGTGTATGTCGTGTAAGTGGGTGTGGGTGTTGTATCAGAGAAGGGTGGAAAGAAAGTACAGAATGTGTGTGCTGAATGTTGGATGTGTAAGTGTGTAAATGTGAAAAGGGAGATAGCGTAGGCTGAGCGTCTGCGTGGACGTGTTTGGAAGAAAAAAGCAAGATCATAGAATTATTCTTCTTCCCTTCGGTTTGAGCATCCGCCTGCTGGGAGCGGGAACTCCGGGTATAGCAAAATGAATCTGTTCTTGGAATATCAGCTAAATATTCTCTGATTTGACTAGCCTTTTTACAGCCTTTCAAGGGTTGCGAGATATCAGAGCAACCAACAATGTGCTGTTTAGGAGACCCGAGTCCGAGAAAGATTTAGGCATCTAACCTTGATCAGAACCAGAACTTCAGTGGTTGTATAAATTATTCTGACTGGAGTTGAGTAAAAGCTCTAAGATGGTACGATGTTTATTTAGAGAGCAAGTTACACTCACTAGGGAATTACAGGCATTTTTCAGTCATGAAAAGTAGAAGCAAGGTGTGTGCATCACCAATTTATCACAGCGGCGGTGATGCACGAGAAATCAACACCAGTTAAACTTACCACGATATAAAAAATGTCTTCCCTAAGTTGGCGTCCCAACTCCAGAAGTACTGTTACTAGGGGGGTCAGCATAAAAACATCCAAGTCCCTAAATTACGTTAAATTGTTAACATCCAACCCAAATGGATGTTAACTGTTAAACCAAAGCTAATGCTGACGGATACCTAGTAAGAGTACTTGTGTGCAAAAGAATTAAGAAATAAATTAATAAGAAGGCTGAAAAAGTCAAGGAAGGGACTATTCACGAAGACTGCCTGAACACCCACAAGGTCAGACAGGAATCAGCCGAAACAACAAACAAAAAAAATCACGTATCATGTGATAAGGACTCGTTATCAGGAGATACGGATCACTAAAGTCTGCCTGACCTTGTGGGTGATCAGGCAGAGATCAACAGAAACCTATATCAATCAATTACGGAAAAAGATCTTGATAAAGATCTTTATCCCCGGAGGTACGAATCCTCAAGCAGGGACGAAAGAAACATGAATTAACTTGGTTGTAAAATAAATGTACAGGAGATATAAATGTACGAAAAGAAATAAAACGAAGTATTAACTTAAGTCTTAAAAAAGGGAGAGTCACACTGGAGGGACAATCACAAAGGGCTGCTTGATCACCCACAAGATCAAGCAGAAATCAACAAACACGCATTAAGCGAAACAAAACAATTAACGATAAAGTACGTAAAGGTACTTAAAAAGATCTTTATTCCAGGAGGTACGGATCCTCAGGCAA